GTAATATTTTTAGCAAATTTCTTTGAAAAAATTTCGTAGGCATAGGGCCTAGCTAGGTATACAGTAATTTCATTTTACAGTAGTTTGGAACGATATCAGGAGTGGGGGTGGTGGCAGTGGCCTACTAGGACTACAATTTATTTTAAGCTATCTTGGGTCCGATCATCCACACCAGTTGGGCCCAATCGTCTGTCACCCGAAGTTTTCATTACGATGATCAAGAACGCAGGCCTATACAATCTAGGCCCTAGGCTAGGCTTAGATTGCTCTGCTACGTATACTACTACCGCATAACAAAGAAAGCGACCCACGCGATGCATTCTTAAATCGTACACACATTATTAAAATGTATTAGACGATAACACGATATCACTGACTGAACGATCTACCACCCTCGCATCGCAGTAACTACTGTACTGAACTAGGCCTAGCTTAAGCCTAATGTTTTTGTGGAAAGTTAGATAGTCGTTATGTACCCGACAGTTGGCTGCCTTTATATCTTCACTTGTCTTCGATTTGTATTCAAAGGGTACATTGCTGCATAGCCAACTTTCGGGGATATGGTACCTTCATATGACTAGAAATTGCAAATTGCAAGTGAAGTGCTGCGAAATACAACTGCATATATGTTCTTCGAACAAAATTATTTATGCGAGTCAAATGAAAATAATGAATAATAAAAATATAACAAATAATATGAGACACGACTCATTGTCTATATTAGAACACTTCTAATTGGGTAACAAAGTCGTAATTTTTCATTTTTGTCAAAAAGTGTCTATAGTGGTGAATTATGGTTTAGGTTTTTTTAATAAAGTTTCTAAAATTTCTATGTATGTGGAAAATGTAGTTGATTACCTAAGGTTACAATTTTTATTTTGAAGACTGCATGGTCTAGGAAGTGTACATTTTTTTATGGGGCAAGTTTCCAAGGGCGGGTTTTCTAGGGGTGAGTTGACTGCCAAAGAGTGTTGCCAAAGTGCGAACCAGCGTGTTATTTGATTCAAAAAACAACTATAGGTCTAATAATGAATTATTGTGATGTTAAATATACAATGATAGCTATCAAGGAGCGACGTTGTTTTTCATTGGGACCTTCGTCCCTTCAAGGCTAGGCCTAGGTCTATACCATCAATTGATCCTAGCTAGTCTATCTAGCTAGTCTATCTAGGCCTAGAGTAGGATAAGGCTCGCGGACGTTGGTACGTGTTGGTTAGTCTACAAACGTCGCTTTAAGTAATTGATTTTACCCGGGAGAACGAAAGAAGGAAACTCCGTTTTTCAGTTGACTTAGGCCCATGTTTTTTGACAAACAATGACCTTTCACAGGTCAAATTGCTGTCAAGAATATGAATTGGCTGCTTCGCAGCAACTACTCCATAGAGATAATAATAAGAATACTAGAGCGCTAACCGCAATGTATTCGATGTTCGAAATACGCAGAACTGTGTGGGTACCATCCAAGATGGCTGCCATAGATTTAGCCAATCAAATTTCGCTAAGCACCATCGTTTGCAATTGCGCCCTTAATTTACTCAGAGGGTTCAGTACAGCTAGCTACCCGTATGTTTGAAACTCGAGCGCTGCGGTGTTTGGGTGTAATGTACACGACTTTAAATTTCATTCCTTGGTACTTTATTTTTGAATAAGATGCTCCACTTGGCCTCATTTTGGCTATTAGTTTAATAATTTGTACCATGACTCATTATCATTAATGAAACAATAGTCAGTCAGAGGGCTTATTAATATCTAATAATATGTATACTAAGCCTGAAGGTGGCTCTTTACTACGACGGCCATCTTGGGTGGTACACATACATAACTCTGCATTGCTGCGCCATCTTGTAAACACTCTAGTTGTTTAATAGCTCTATGGACTACTCATACAACAGAAAAAAACGTTGCATAGAGTTAGTGAAAAATGGAGATCTAAATGAAAAAACGATGTATTTCAGCAAGTATTAAAACCTTTTTGTTTTATTTAGGCCTTCTTCAAAATACCTATGCCACAGCATTTGATTTTTTTTGCCGTAAAACCAAAATAGTTTCATGCATGCCGACTTGCCGATCGGTTGCTGACTGAACTCTGCAGAAAATCTACATCGAACTTTGCATCGCGATGTAAAACAAAATGTCGGAAAACTTTTCTTTGACGCATGCGCATTTGCATAAATGTCTACACACATACATACTACACACAATAAAAAACAAAAGAAATGAGTGATTACAATAGTTCCTATTGCATTACATGCATAGGAACTAAAAAGCTAAAATTATTTTCTAGTGTAATTCAATGATTTACAATGACCAAAATCTCATTTCTGAAACTGATTCGACATTCAGATAGTAATACTGATCCTTTGCACTCTCCAATACTTACAATACTTTAAACATAGAAAATGTGACCTGACATTATTTGCAGCATGAAACTTTTGCAAATCTGGACGCTTAGTGCGTTTGAAATTTCCTGGTTTTACAGTAATTTTGTAAAATACCTGATCACTAGATGTGGTTGGAATACAACTAATTTGGTGTATTACACTAGGTTAAATTCTGTAGCCTAGTAGTAGATTACACCAAATTACATTTGTGAAAGCCTAGTACACATGCATCAATAAAATAACTTACACATCTATAAAACTGTCCCTTGATTCCACCAGTAACAAATCGTTTGCCATCTACATTCCAAGCGGCACAGGTAAGACTGTCTTCTGGTGAGTGATTTATTTTATTTTTTAAAGTACCAGTCTACACAAAAAATGAAGAATAAAAATGTTAGGAAAACAAAAATAACAAGTTAGAAAAACTGGAATAAACAAATGGTTACTTAAAAATTCCTTAATTTGTTACATAGGCATCCAGATTATACTCATTTTGATCAGGTTAGAAACTGCTTATTTGCGAACTATTAATTCAGGATATCAAATTCAATGTACCACATACAATAACAATGAAATGAATTATATTGTTTGCATATGCCATATTTCCAGCATAAAATACTACATAGAATTTTTCCATGTAGTACTGTAGTTTACAAAAACAAGTTCATATAAATGATAAAAACAAATGTTGTATGTCAAAATATAGAAGCTATTGATCGTATGTTTTGGTATTGTCCTGATGTGACACGATTCTGAAAAAGTGTTGAGAGATAGATTGGACATGAGAGATAGATTGGACATTAAGGATTCCAATACAAATTAATTTAGGTCTTTCTTGGGTTTAACCAACCATCCAGGACTAATTACTATACATTACATTACATTATGTACTATGTAAAAAACTATTTATTCAAAAATAGGTTGTTAAGGATGAAATCCAATTTAGAAACCTTTATACATGATAAAAGAATACATAAAACAAGAAAATTATTATTATTATGTTAAAAATCGTAAACCTGAGCGTACATTGACAAACAAATCACAAATCTGCATGCTGGCCTAAATATAAAATCTACTCTGATATAAAAAAAAAAAAAAAGTGTGTGTGTGTGTGTGTGAACGATCTAATATTAACAAAAATAACAGAGAGAAAACATCTAGTTTACACAACCAACAAATTTAAGTTCACAGAATATTACTACCTAAATTAAACAAGCATCAGTTTCGATTTCAATTTAAAGGGAAATGATAAACTATCCTCCAGGATTTACCACGCCTCTACGCCATTGCATTTGTTTACAACATACGGTAACACACGGTTTTCCCAGAGTATAATCGTGTAGTGTCATGTGAGACATCACTAATCTGAACGCATTTTTATTTATTTATTTTATTTATTTATTTATTTATTTGAACATACACCTTGCATCGGTATCAACATTTCAATTTAGTGTTTATATCAGTTGTCAAATTACAGTGTACAAGTAAACAACCCGCCACCAAAAGACGATCATCTTTATTCAACAGCAATGTTGATTTATGTCCATAAACACGCTGTTATAATCTAAAACCATGTGGACTATGCGAGATGAACAACTACCTTGGTGTACACAAAATAATTCCTTTTGTACTTAGGTGTTACCTACATGATATCCTACGATGTTATAATAAAGTTTACAAATAACCATATGTTTAGTGTATTAATTCATCATTTTATATCTTTACATTTAACTAAAAAACATTTAAATATTGTAGGATTACCAATGTATACGACAAAGGAATAACTTCATAGGCATTCCAATTCATGGTTGCGATGTTATCTCGGTGTGCTGAAACCAACTAAAACCATGTGCACTGTGCAAGACAAACTACTAGTGTTTGTGTGCAAAATTACTTCATTGACTACCCAGCTTAGTAAACTTTATGTAAAAACTTTGATCTGAGTTTTTCCTAAATTTTTGTACAAATAGTTTACTAAGCTGGGTAGGCAATGATGTAATTTTTCACACAAACACTACCTGTTTGTCTCGCCCAGTGCACATGGTTTAAGTTTGTCTCAGCAGGTTTGGCACAGTGGGAATGGTTTGGTTCCCAACCTCGAGGTCGGGGTTTTAATCCATTGAGTGCATTAATGTTTGAAGGTACTACATTGCTTCAGTCAACCCAGTTGTAACAATGGGTACAGCAAATTGCAGGAAGTATACATTCTCATCCGCTTTAAGCTACAGAAACTTGGGATAAGCTACTAGTAGAGCGGCTAAGGTTGAATTTCAGGTAGAATCGTGCACTTCTGGAAGAAAGCATGAAACTTCCCACAGTGATACTATGACACCTAAAGATCATTAAAAAAAATTAGACCCCAAAAAATAACGCCTCCTAATGGCCGCCATCTTGAAATCCAATATGGCCGCCAAAATATTTGATTTTAGCCAATATATTCATATCTACAGCACATGTAATTGCCAATTGAAGATCATTACCCATATTTTCAATATCAGGGAGTGTCATGCAATCATCAAAAATTATGTCAGATGGCATTGCCATACTGGATTTCAAGATGGCCGCCAAATTAATAATATTTTTGTCAATATTCATATCTACAGTACCTAGCACTGTCAATCAAAGACCGTTGCCCATGTTTTCGATATCAGGGACTACCATGCAGCCATCAGAAATTATATCAGAAAACCACCATATCAAATTTCAAAATGGCCGCCATCTTGAAATTTAATATGGCCGCCAAAGTAATTAATTTTAGCCTTGGTAGTCATATTTACAGCACATATCACTCCAACTGACGATCATTACCCATGTTTTCAATATCAGCTTTTCACTAATTTTCAACACCTAGCACTGTCAAAGATCTCTACTCATGTTTTCGATATCCGGGAGTATCATGCAGATATAAGAAATTATCTCAGAAGGCCGCCATATTGAATTTCAAGATGACAAATTTCAAGATAACAAATTGGTAATCAATCGAAAGTAATGAAAATTAAAAGAATAAGTAAATAACTGCTTTGTATGGTATGAGAGCAAGTGCAGATGGAGAGAGATAGATGCAGATATTAAACATCGTTTATATTAAAGCTAGTTTTAGCATAAATAAAATTATGTAAACATAAATCAAATATTCAAATTAATGGTGTGAAGACACTAATATCAAATAGACCTCGTGTCTATGAGATGGCTAATTATCATTTTCAAATGATATATAAAGATATGTACATATTGAAAGGGAAAGAAATGGAGAAGAAAATTAAAGAAAAGAAAAGAAAGAACAGAAAGTAAAAGAAAAAACTGGAAAGGGAAAAGAAATTTAAAAAAATAGAAAATGAATATAATGGATAAAGTGAAAAGAAATATCAAGAAAAATTAAGAAAAGTATATAGATAACTTTAGCACAGGCCTAAATGAAATTATGTAGACATAAATTAAATATCACATTCAAGTAATGTTATGAAGGCAATAATATCGAAGACTTCTAAATATCATTTTCAAATATGTATATATATATATATATAATTAACCTTTGTGTGTAGCACTCTGTTTATATAATGAAATAATTGTTAAAACAGAGCTCGAATAAATGAAAGGTGATGTGAGTATCGTATCGGGAATAGCCTATCAAATAAAAAAAAAGTTCCTTCTGTTTGAAAATGTGCCCCTGGCGGCGGGAATTAAAATGTGATTTCTTGCTGTCAAGGTGAGTGCCATATATATTTACCACAAGGAGCCCCTGGTATATCGCAGATACAACCCAACCGGGACACTTCTTCAAACAAATAATATACTGTTGCCAAAGAATACTCTAGAAGTCATACCTGTATTATAATGAAGTAACATATAGAATCAGTGTTGCTGCATAGCATTGTGGCATAACTAATCAAATAATGACAGAAACAGTGGTAAATGAACAATGATGTGAAGATCATATCAGGCATAACCTATCAAAGAAAAAGTTCTTTATCAACTGTATGAAAAAGACAAAAGTGCCCCCAGTGAGAAATTAAACCATGCATCAGTTGTTTGAAAATGTGTCCTAGTTTAAATAGATTTATCAGGAAACGAATATTTTGAATATTTTGTATATATCATATATATTCTATATATAAATTTATATATATTTGGACTTAACACCGAGGGCCGAACCCAAACGTTGATGTTTTCATTGAGCTTTCAAAATCCTCAAAGCACTGCTTTTACACCACTCTCGGTTTAATCTTACTTTTTTACATAATCGGCGTCTGGCCGTAAAAAATAAGATGTTTTCTAGATGTTGCTTGGCGATCCGCACACAAAGGTTTTTAATTCATTTTTGCGGGCCGCACTTTGCCACCTGTGGTATATACCTATACACGAATAAAACATTTTGTATTCGACTGTCTAGAAACGGTTTTTGCATCAAATATAAACAAGTAGATCAAAAACATATATATATATTTATATATATATTTATATATATATATATCTGTCTCTTATACACATCTTTTAACTAAAAAACATTTAAAT